TTTCTTTAAATAAAATTAATTGGTGCTCGTTTGTAACGGGTGATTTTTTAAGAGCTTGATACCTTTTTTTTTAAAAAAATATCGTTGAATTATTTTAATATCTATTGCAAAATTTTATTCAGACAGGACTAAAAAGTAGAAAATAAATAATATAAAAAAAACTTTTTAATATACAACGCTTTTATAAATGGACTAAAAAGTAGAAAATAATACTTCTCAGTCCCATAGAATTTGTTTTGATAACTTTTGATTTTGAAATTTTAGCAAAAGTCATTATAAACAATCTATGAAATTGAAAATGAAAAACGTGGNAAAAAAACTTTTTAATATACAACGCTTTTATAAATGGACTAAAAAGTAGAAAATAATACTTCTCAGTCCCATAGAATTTGTTTTGATAACTTTTGATTTTGAAATTTTAGCAAAAGTCATTATAAACAATCTATGAAATTGAAAATGAAAAGCGTGGGGCGCATGTAATACACTTGAATTGATATGAAAAGTAATATATGTATGTATGTATGTGGGTATATGAATAACGACCGCTTAAAATCGATTTCACATGATTTTACACATGCATATGTATGTATGTACATATGTACATGTGTATGTAATGTTGCTAACAAGCTAATTAATTCAATTATTTCTTATCTTTTGTTTTTTTAACTCCTAGAAATGAACTGATTTTATGAATTAATACATTTATTTGTAATTTTTTATGGAATCGGCATCGGCCGATTCTTTCCCCATAAGCCGATTAATCGGCATCGGGATCGGTACCTGAAAAAAAATTGGAATCGGTCGGACTCTACTTTTTTCTATTAATTAACTTAACCATTAATCGAACCGAACTTTTCCACAAATGTTTGATCCGAACCGAAAACCGAACAACTTTTCATAAAGGTTTAAAGGTTCGTTTCAACCAATTTTCAATAGATAAATTTACTTTTTTTTTCTTGTGGCAATATCACTTGAAATTTAGCTTTGCGCGTTGTTGCACTTGACATTTTATACTTAAACTTCCGTATTATTTTTTTGATTTCCAAACCGTTGAACCGATCCAAAACCCCAGTTCAAATACCAAAAAATCCGCTTTGTCGAACAAATCCAAAAGTGCAAAAACGGTCCGAACCGCTGAACCGAACCGACCAAATTTTTCATCCAGTTCACCTCCCTGATCAAAACATAGCCTGAAAATAATGTGAAACATGTTTGTACTTTTTCAGTGGCTTTGCCAATGCATCACCTAAGTCAGATCTCAATTTGGACAAACAGCTGCGACGCCTAGATCAAGATGTACGTCGTGTCGGTCGAATTTCTCGACGCGATATTGATGAAGTCCTGGAAGAGATACGCTCCCAACGTTCTGCTACTAGTTCACAATCACTCCTCGTAATACGTTGCTGTGGTAACCTGGTGCCGGAAGAAATGCCGGAAGTACGTACTGCGCTGGTACAAGAGATCTGGAAAACTCTTACTACTTTGAATGTTCCGATGGACATCTCACATTACAATGCATTACTGCGCGTTTACTTGGAAAACGAGCACTCGTTCTCACCAACAGATTTTTTGGCAGAAATCGAATCAAAAAACATTGAGCCAAATCGAGTAACATACCAACGACTGATTGCACGTTATTGCCAGCAAGGTGACATCGACGGGGCCACGCGTATATTAGAATTTATGCGCTCCAAGAATCTGCCTGTAAATGAGAATGTCTTCAATTCACTTATTCTAGGCCATTCGCAGGTAAGTCTAATGACAAAAATGGTTGTTTACATTTATTGAAATGAATGTAATAAAACCGTCGGTAACAAAATGGTCATAAGTATCAGTCTATGGCGCAAAAACAATGTGAAGTAATTAGGCAGTATTATATTTACCTGAAATTCACATTATATAAAGTTATTATCCATGTTATTAATTATGACTAGACATTGGAGTTCTATAAAATTTGTATATCGTCGCCTGGGTAAAAGATTGTCGTAAGCGCCATTTTGACGATTTTTAGTTCTAGTAGTTATATATGTATTTTGAAATAAGGTCTTTCGATTGGTGTTATTAGTTTTTAGATATCTCCTTTAGTTTCCGAGATATTGACTACAACTTTTTCGATAATTTAGTAAAAATTTAGTTAGTGATATCTTAAAAATGGCGTTCTCCATTTTTGGATATCTCCTTTAGTTTCCGAGATATTGAGTAAAAAGTGTAGTTAATTTGGTAGACATTTTGATCACACTTTGTCGTATTTCATACAAACTGGCTGCCAAATTGTGGACAAATGGCGCTTACGACAAAATTTGACTAAAGAGAACCGTCGTACACTCAGAACTAATTAGCAATCAACATTAAAAATTAAGTAATTTAAGAATTTTGTGAACTAGTAACATTTTCAGAGACTTTGGAGAAAATCTATCTTCCCGTTTTCGAGAAATTGCATTCCAAACTTCAATCGCGATTTCCCACAACCTGCCGAAATTAACATACGACAATCTTACCCAGGCGATGATATGCAGAAAATAAGAAAAAGTATGCAAAATATATGCGAATAATGTGCAATCAATACTGCCAGGAAACCTGGATAGATAAATACGCACTCTTTCTCTTTAGTTGCAATTAGTATTTAATGATAAAGTTTAGATAAAAGGAATGTAAATGAAGTTCAAGTAATTACACTGGATCACAAATTTTAATTTTGATTTTGTTCTCCAGACGCTACTATCCAATTTGTATGTTAAATCACTCGCTGACTCCGAAAATCGAGTTAATTTTTTTTGTATGGATTCGTTTTCGAGATATTTGCAATTTACCGTTATTCAGCTTAAAAAAAGAGTGGTTCCAATTAATCAGGTATATCTTACGAACCAATTAAATAATCGTAATACGAGATAGGGCAAATGATAGATAATAAAATTCTCCATAAACCGTATATAGATTACTTTTCGATAGCCCTGATAGTTTCTGAGAACTTAATTAATCTTTCCAGATTTTTTGTTTTTTTTTATGGAAAAATGCAAAAAATTCAAACTTTAACAGGGAAAAAAAGCCAAAATATTACAGTTTGTGCGTAAATAATTTCCACTGGTGTTAAAGCCTGTTCATTTAGAAAAAACTAAGCTACCAATGAAGAAAATCGGTATATAAATAACAAAATAGTGATTGGTCAAATGAAAATGCGCAAGGATTTTTTGTATGAAATATCAGCAGAAAAGAGTGTAACTCATACGCCACGTACGAGTAGGTAGAGTGTTTGCATCGAAAACAAGAGGTGTCAGAAATGATTAATTAATTAAAAGTGATATATACAGTTTATGGAGACTTTAACTTGCTTTCATTTCCCGTATCTTGTATTACGATTATTCAATTGGTTCGTAAGATATACCTACGTGATTAAGTGAAACCACTATTTTTTAAAGCTGAGTAACGGTAAATTGCATATATCTCGAAAAGTTATCCATAGAAAAAAAATGATCTCGATTTTCGGAATCACCGAGGAATTCTACACGTTAATTGGATAGTGGCATCCATAGAACATTTTTGCTCTAAACCAGTGTTATTATTCGCAAAAGTCGCGTGGCCGAATCGTCGCGTTAGCCTCGTTGCTTGTTGTCACAGTATATACTAGGGATGTTGCAAATGTGGAATTGTCTAACAGCAAACATCCGCTGATGCGGATGCGAATACGAATGTCAAGTATTTTTAAGAAACAATAAGGTAAGTAAACTAAGTTGTTTAGGCAAATAAAAAATGGAAAAGTTAGGAATTTTTAATAATGTTTATTTTATTTAAATAGTACTTGAATTTAAATATTTAATAAAAAGTAATGAATTTCATATTTAATAAAATGTAATGAGAATTGCATCGGGGCTGAAAATATCGGATGTATCCTCCCAACTTTCATCTTCACTTGAAGAATCTAGCATAATGGTGAGATCGTTGTTTAAACATCGGTTACATGCCAAACCAGATGTGCCAGGTTTTTCTATAGCTTTTTAAAAAGAACTCTTCATTCTCATTTCTTTGGCTGTTTCAGAACCTGTAACGTCATCAGCGTTTTTTAATTTTAGTTTTTGTAATTCATTTTTTTTTAATACTTTCTTCTGTGACCGGTTTGAAAAATTTGTGCTTATTGTCAGCTAAATGGATGGATATGGAAAATAAATTATTATTTTCCAGGAATGAAAATTTTGAACAAAATTCTGTTTTCAAAGTCGTCGCTGCCAGCCGAATCGGATTATTTTTTTAAAAAAGCACCCCGATTTTGCATGTGTAAGCATTTGAATTATTAGAATCGCGGTTGATGAGTGTCTCAGATAGCGACGTAATTCTTACTTAATTTAAGGTCAGACCTATATAATTATTTGAGCATCGATTCTCTTTGTATCCAGACGTTGACCATTTCTGCTGGAAATCCCTATTGAAAGAGTAAGTCTTTAACTTTAAATAGCAAAACAGAAAAACAAAGAAATTATTGCTAAAATGACTATGTTCTCTTTGACGTACGACTGCCCATTGATAGCTCGGTTGTATAGCTTAGGAAATAATATGCTTAAGGATATTTTTATCAAAGTTGATAAATATGTCATTTGACCAGTTTTGTTACACAAATACTCCCACGACCACAGACAAAAACTCAGCCTCATTGCGCAAGACGTAAATTAGGCTAAATTGTACGACCCGACAACATTGGCATTGGCTACTGTCGTGCTGAAATAGGTAAACGACGAAAATCGTCGAAAACTTCGCAGTGCTGCCAAGTTTTTCCGTTTTAATACACTAGTCGAGTGGAAATTTTAGGCAATGACCTGAAATTTTCGATACGATTCGACTTACATTCGTTACGACTCTTGCAATGAGGGTGAATATTGGCCACAATTTTTCATTTTGTTTGCCATATATACGTTTTATCGGTGCACTTGCACAACATTCGCATTCGCAAAAGCTCCGCATTGATTATTGCGAATGCGAAAGCGAATGCGAATGTTAAAATTAATGCGGAAGCTCCGCGGTTGCGAATGCGAATATTCGCAACAACCCTGGTATATACAGCAATAAACCTTTTTGCAGTTTTTCACCACTTGGTCTCGGAGGAGAGCTTTTGGGTTGTGTGCATCGTTTTTAAAATATGTATGTATAATTATGTGTTATTTATGAACATAATGTAGGTTAAGTATAATATCAATGCTTAATTAAGAGATCAATAGTTAAGTATGTACATAATTAACGCTTGTTATTCATAAACTGGAACACTCAAATCGTAATGATAGCACTGAATGGTGTTTTCTAAAATGTAGGTTTAAAATTAAAAAAATATCCATTGTAAGATTATATTTTTATGAAAAACGTGAATTTTGTTTTATTTTGTAAATTTATCAAGTAAAATCCTAACTTTCCGAATATACTTAGCTTTTTATTAAAAAAAAAACGAGGTTTGTAGAGTTATAGAGACTCCAATGCCTGCCAGTGCATCCGCCCAGATATTTCATTAAGCACTCCCAAGTTTGAGCGACCATTATCCTGAGCTCCTCAAAAACACTTAACATCAAAGTATAGAATGTCACAAATATAAATCATACACACATACAATAGTTATTTCTATGAATTGCTACCGTATAAATTCAGGACATGCATTTGCTTGGAGCTAGCACATTCAATAGTCCATTACCCGGAGCTGCTCCAACATGATGAGTAGATTTTAATGAGCCACACATGCCACTCCCTCTGGCTACAAGCTGAATATTAGAAAATAAATGGCAATTATCTATTTAAATGATAAGAAAATTGTTTGTTTACAAAATTGCCTGTGCCAGTCTGCCAAAGTCCGGTTGTTGCCCCCTTTCATGCCACAGTAATTTTGTTTACAACTCTGAATCAGCAAAATTCATGCTCCTTCTCGTTATCAACTCTGATCAGATTTTACCCCCGAGGAGTACTAAAAAAGGTTTATTACTGTATATGTATACTGTACTCGTTGTCTTACAAACGTTGACTGACTCAAAAATGTTGAACGCTCGGAAAATGTTAACCGCTTGTCTAGAGTTGCCATATGTTTACAATCGGCCACTCCTGACTATACAGCCGTCCTCGCTATTAATTGTCATCTTCATCGGTGCTTTCGGCACCCTCGTTAATTTGTTCGTCGAGAGCTGGTAGATTACACCACGGTCGAAGCTTATCTGAAGCGTATATAGATGTGTAATGACGTTGTTTGCCTGAATCTGGAAGATAAATTATGACGTATCGATCTCGATCAAGGACTTTGCTTATAATGAAGGGGCCTTTGTAACGTTGCTCCAACTTTCGTGATTCGAACGTGATGGCTGGTTCGTTCTCGGCCAAGACCATGTCGTGTAACTCGATCTGCTGCCGCGTGTCTAAAATCATTGATATCAACGTCTTGTGAGTTACAGTCATGTAGAATCGTTGTTAGTTTGTTTTTAAGTATATCGCGTGGCTTGAATGAATACACCAACTCATATGGGGTTCGAGCTATCATTTGCTTGCGCGTTGTGTTGATAACTCATTGGAAATTACGTAGTTTGTCTTCCCAATTCTTCTCTGATTGCGTCGTCGTTCGGAGCATGCTTAACAATGTTCTGTTAGTTCGTTCAGCGTTACCATTCGCTCGTGGTGTGCGAAATGTGTTTTGGATACGATTAATATCGTAATCTTTACAGTATTTAGTAAACTCTTTGGATGTGAACGATGTTCCACGATCCGTTACAAAGCGTTGAGGGACTCCAATGTAGCTGATTACTTCGTCAAGGACTGCTAGCACGTGTTTGGTCGCAGTACTCTTGGTAGCGCTAATTATAGTAAATTTGGTGAAAGAACCAACCAAACCATTATGTGCTCATTTCTAGGTGAACTTTTCGGAAAAAGACCAAGGAGATCTAAATGGATCGTTTCAAATGGGATCGGCTCCATGTCGCCGTAGCTATATACTCCTTTCTTTCCGGTCGGGATTTTGTTGCAGGCACAATCGACGCAAGATTTGATGTAGGCATTTACAAAATTTCGTATTCGCGGGAACCAAAGGAAGTTCTGAATACGGTCGATTGTCGTATCCACACCTAGATGTCCGTCCTTGTCATTACTAGACTTGAAAAATTCACATTTTGATAAGTTCAGCTTGGGACCTGCCGTCTTTAATTTGCAAATCACTGCTCTTAAGTTGTTTATGTGCTGTTGCATATCTCTGCCTGATACAGTTATACGACCACAAAAGGTATATAACTTAATAAATTTTCCATCGTCTTTTGAAATATGGCAGCAGCAGGTTTTACCCCAAAAGGCAAACGTTTCTTCTTGAATGTGCCAATGTGAGTTGACCACGTACATAATTGCTGTGAGTTTTCATCGAGAATCAATTGTTTGTAGGCGTTAGATAGGTCTAGCTTTGAAAACAGGTTACCGCCTTGAAGTGACGCAAACATTTCGTCAATCAGAGGCAGCGGGTACTTAAAATCGGAGAGGTATTAATTTATTGTACCTTTGTAGGCACCACAAATTCTAAGATCCCCATTCGGTTTTATAATAGGAACGAGAGGAGTGCACCATTCTGTATGGTCAATTGGCTTTAATACATCATTTTTAACTAATTCTCTCAAACTTTTTTCAATTTTAGCTTTCCTTTGGCGTGAAAAAAATTGACTTGTAGTTATTATCTATAAGAAAAGAAGAAGAAAAATTTTTCCCAACTTATAAGCGCCTAGACCATTGTTAAAAACTTCGTAGAATTCATTCTTAATTTCTTCGATAATTATGGAAGATTGATTGGAGTCGCTAATTGAATTTATTTGTACGAGCTCAAACCCAAATTCTCGCAAAAAATGTGTACCAAATAATGGGGAATTGTTGTTATTAGTAACTACGAGTTTAATTTTCTTCTTTGTGCCATTGCATTCAATTATTTCATTATACTCTCCTAATACCTGAATTCTGTTGCCATTATAGTCAATGTAAGGATCACTACAAGTGTCAAGACTCACATTTTGCTTTATTTTCTTTAAAAAGTGCTTGGAAACTGGGCTGCATGATGAACCTGAATCACAAAAATCTTCCATAGAGACTACATTGATTGTGATAGAAACACTGTAGAGCTGAGTTGAATCGTCACCCATGTTTTGGTTTATGCTGTAACTACAAAAATCATTATTAAACTCATCATTAGAAGATTCAGGTTCTGATATGTAATTAATAGTTTTTTCTTCTCAGCAAACTGATGCCAAGTGTCCGATTTTACTGCATACATTACACCTGTTCTGCTTATATCTGCATTGATTGTGATTTCGCCAACCACAGGTAATGCATGCCTTTGACGATTTTGTTGCGTTTTCTGATCGCTGTTTTTCCTACTGTCGCTGTTGTTGTTGTTGTAGCGGCTACAACAACCCCGCCCAGATCGGTTGGTATCTCAGTCGTTGTCGTCAAGTTCCACTAACGGCAACCCTAGGAAGCGTGCAGCTTCTGTGGGGTTTGTCCACAGGGACAAGGCCGTTAGGGTCGTCGGGTTTTCCGGGCATGCGAAGAGATGTTTCGAGTCATGTGGGGTCTCTCCGCATGCCGGACACTCATTCGGCACATCCTCATTCAACCTACTCAAGTAGGAGTTCAACCTGCTGCAGTAGCCGGAGCGAAGTTGTGCGAGTGTAGTGCGTGTCTCCCGAGGCAGATGAAGCTCTGTCTCGTCTATGTCCGGGGG